GGGGGGGGGGGGGGGGGGGGGGGGGGGGGGGGGGGGGGGGGGGGGGGGGGGGGGGGGGGGGGGGGGGGGGGGGGGGGGGGGGGGGGGGGGGGGGGGGCGAAGATGTCGGAGAGGAGGGCGCGTGATGATTCGTGATGATGGATCTATGGGATTGATGATCATAGAAATTGGTGTATCGACTCGTTTGGTGTCGGTGGCGTCTGAGTGAGAGCCTTGAATCTAATCTAATGTAATGATCATGGGTCACGCCAACGCCAACAGGCAACTCTGGGCAACTCCGTTGTTTTCGTTGTGCTGGTTGGGCATGGCGTGAGAAACATTGTGCAAAGAGTGAAATAGAAGAAGAGTCTGAAGATCCTCGACCGAAGAAGCTCACTCTCCGTGCTCCTCCCTCTGGGCTGACTCATTCAGCGAGACAAAGCTGCGCATCGATGGATGTGTGTGCCATTCATGTATGCATGCATGCATCGATGGGTCAGTCAGTCTCTCTGTCTTCTAAAGGGACAACCCCTTCCCACATTCGATTTTCATGATGGTTCCGTTGTTTGTTTCCTTGTTCATCTTGAGTACGTGGAGGCACCACGCTGGCTGGCGGTCGGCTGACGAATGACACAAGACACTCGGGTCCGTGTCTTACATACAGCTGTTTTCATACAATAGAACGAAGTAGACGCAAAATGCAGACGGTCGGCAGTCTACGCAGCCTAAAGTAGTTCGCGGAAGGGGCCAATATCAAGCTACATGAGGGGCCAACAATCGAGTGAAGGCCTTGTTCTGCTCGTTGTTCTGTGTTAATTCTTTTCCATGGTGCGGTACCTGTTATTTTTTGTTTCATCATTTTGTTTTCGTTTTCCGAGCGGTTTGTACTCAAATTCTTGATATGTTCCCCTGCTGTGCCGAACGTGCCGGGTTTTGGGACCACAGGCTCCCCGCTTTTTATAGAATTATGTGAGAAGCAACCCCCGTTCGACTGTGGTCTGGTCTAGAATGGGTACTGTGTTTGTCGTTGTCCAGGCCACGATCTTTGCCGAAAAAATGCGTGGGTGATTTCCATCTCCAAGGTAACCTCCGGTCGCCCCGGTAGTCTAGTTGGAAACCTCGAAACCTCGAAGAGGTCAGGTCAGGGGTTCAAATCCCGGCGTAAGCGAGCTCTCCTTCAGTGAGCCTTTCTCTCGCTTCCGCTCCTGGCCTGGTGGATTGCGCTAGTTCGTGTTCACGGAAGATTGCTAAACTCTTCTCGCAATAAAAATCGAACAAGTACCACAGGAGGGGAGGGCAGAAAGAGGCTCTTCTGTGTGACAAAAAAAAAAGGCTGCAGACAACGACAAAAACCTCCATGCAGTTCTTTCGCGCATATCCTTCAGTTGACCCCGACCGTAAGACATGGTTTTCTACCGTTGTATCCAAGTACTTAGTGTAAGTGTTAACAGTTTGAGACAACGAACACAGGGAACGGGTTTTCCGCACGGGACAGAGAATCGTTTACTGAGAGGTCGACAGGACATGGATGGACGTCATGTTCGTCAGGCGCTCACACGATCGCGGGAAGTTCGACTTGACAGGGATGTTCGTGTCCGTGTGTCTTGCACCCCCCTCTTGTTCCATTTACACATGTTTCCAGAGGCGTCATGGCCAGTTAATTTTCGATCTCTACAGTAGGCATTGTGACCTCGGTCTATCTACGGGAGACGAGCATGCAAAGAAACTAACCCCAAAGGGAGTGATCTTTGAACAGCGCGAAAACGTGGAGCGGCGAACATTGCCTTGCATGCAAGCGCCGCGCCTTAATCGACGGTGCAGCCGTCAGCATCAGACTTTACTCTAGAAACACGATATTCAAAGAGTTTCATACAGAAAACACGTGGGCTACTGCACGTGGAAACAAACTCACGCCACACGCAGCAACACAAGCGCGAAATGTTGGGAGCCAGAACGACAAAATCGCTCCCAGCCGCCTTCCCGTCTGCAGCCGGTGAGATCTATTTCAACAGTCTAACATTCAGCAAAACTTGGTCAAAAATCTAGTTGAAGGTGTACGACGCGCCGACGAGGTCGTTGATGATGTACGGCTGGTTGGAGAGCTCCTCGTGCACCATCATGGCCAGGATGCCCATCTGCGCGGCGCGGCCGTTGTTGAGCTCAATCGCGCGCTTCGACTCCTGGGTCTCCTCCGACATGGCGTCCCACGAAGATGCGAACGGGTTGCCGCCGTTTGTGAAGTCTCCGGGGAAGGAGCCCTCCACGTTCTTCATCACGGCCAGCTCAAGGAAGCCCACGAACGCGAAGATCTGGGCGAGGCCCGCCGGGGGGATCTTCGACAGAGCAGCCACACCGTTCGGCATGTCCGCGAACGACAGGTTGGCGGAGTTCGAGAGCATGCCGGGGAGGCGGACGTTCT